TTAAGTGCTGGAACAGTATGTGGACTTACTACCCGAAGCTGTAGTTGAGCTAGTTTTATTCTTAAATTGGCTCGAAGGAAGCCTGTTAGCAGCAGTCCAACAATGCTTCAAATTCAGAAGTGCTAAATTACTTCCCTCATCACTTCCTTATCTATGTTTTAAAAAAGTAAAACTTATATGACATCTTCTTGCTTTAGTATTTTAATGATATGAGATTGTGTCTTGGAGTGATGGGTATCCATGCTTAGGGTCTGGATTTTCAGAAATACTGGTGGAGATGTGGTGGTCATGTGGCTGTAATAGAAGACAGATGAGGGTAAATGCAGAAGAGCATGTGGAGCAAAGACATAGAGACTTCTGGCATGTCCGTTAATGTTTATCATTAACCAGGTTATTGGTGTTTCAAAATAGGAGGAAAAAGTGAAAAATGTAACAGGGTTTGTTGGGGGATTTTTTTGGTGTGGGTTGTTTGTTTGGGGTTTTTTTGGTTGGTTTGGTTTTGTGTTTTTTTTCTTTAAAAGCATAGGTGAGGACTCTGAGGATCAGACACTGTGCGAGCTCTTTGTCTAATTTAATTAGCATTGGTCTAATGTCAAGACTACACACTTCGAACTAAAGACAGTTTTGGACAGATTACCTGTGATAATCAGCTTTGTTAAAACACGTTGCCAATATAGAATGCATCCTATTTTCTTCAAAATGTGTCTCTCTCCAATAAAGGTGTAGCAAGATTCTAGATATTACAGCTCCCAGTAGCAAACAATAGTGCAAACAAAATGCAATTTCTGTCAGAACTCACTAAAATTAAATTATGTGAAAATGACAGGCCAACAACAAATGTGTATTTAGTATAGTCAGTCCTATTACTCTATGGCTGCTGTAATCCTATCATAAAAACTTCACAATTAATAGTCTACTTTGCAGCAGCACAGAGTTAACTGGAAATGTGTTTTGTTTATTAATCCAGCTGGGTTCACACTACTGTAGAATACCTGAGTTTTACTCTATGTGCATCATTCAGAATTCCATGTAAGCAGTGACTGCAAGTTTTACTGATTGTATTTTGTAAATCACCTGATACTGGTATTTTTTTACTGATTGTATTTTGTAAAACCCACACCAAATACATAGTGAGAATTTATTTCTTGTGTTGCATGTAATTGCAGATCACTAATATATCATTAGAATATAAAATAGTTGTTTCAAACTGTCATTCTGGGATGTGGTAGATTTGCATTGTGGTGTTTTCTTGACTGAATATTAGTGACCCACATTATCAACTCGTGTCCTATTCCTTATATAGCCAGAAAGTGTTATATACTGCAGTTCAACATACTGGCTTACCTGGCAGGCAGCTCTCTACATCATGTTATGCTCAAAGTTCTCTGATGTTGTAATGGGCACCAAAATTGCATTGGGTTGGTTAAACACTACCTCACCTACTCTTAGGGAGTAACTCATTACTTGCTCTGTTTTTACTTTTTTTCTTCCTTGCAAGCCATTTAATGACATCTTGCTGTTACATGCAGCGTTACTGTTGCGTTATGTGCAGGAACGGGGTCTCCTCTTCCAGCCCCTACCTAAGGTTCTGTGTCAAAGCTGTTCCAAAAGGTGTTTGTTTAACCTTCATTGACTCTGGGGTTCTAAAGACTTTCAGTGGCAGAGATCTTGAGCAACTAGTTCAGTATTTAGTAAGTATTCAGTATTTAATTGTTTTAAAGTTCTGTGTTTCTTCTAAAATATCTAATCATAAATGTCACTTAGTGTAAACTTACTCTCCATTCTTCCTCTTCCACTGGTGACAGCTCATTTGTGCCTTTGTTAGGGTGACATTGTATGTAGTTGAAGGATAATCATCTCTTGTCATGCACCATTCCTCTTCAGGCCAGCTCAACTCAACTATAATCTTTCATAGGTAAGCTTTCTAGTCTCACTGTTACAGTAGTTATAATCTGGCTTTCTGTAGGTAGCCCATGTTTTTTGAAGTAGAGGGCCTAAATATAATCTTGCATGGCATATGCCCAAACTGTTTCCTCTTTGAACTTGTTTCTCAGACTTAAGAGAATAATTTTAAATTCTGAACCTGCTTTCTGAAGAACTTTCAGCTACTTTGAGCTTTTTGGAACCTTCACGTTTAGTAAATTAACTGCTCCCTCACACTTCAGTCCCGTATTGTGCGTCCTTTCAATCAAGCGCAGGATATCATCTGTAACTATCACTTCATCTGCATTACCAAACTGCAAGTATTACTATTACATAATGAGGGTGGTGCAACACTGGCACAGGTTGCCCAGAGAGGTGGTAGATGTCCCAATCCTGGAAACATTCCAGGTCAGGTTGGATGGGGCTGTGAGCAACGTGGTCTACTTGAAGATGTCCCTGCTCATTGCAGGGTGGTTGGACTAGATGACCTTAAAAGGTGCCTTCCAACCCAAACTATTCTATGATTATATTTGCAAATAATCCCCATATTTGAAGGCAGCCTGATCTAATCCTTCCCTTTCTCCAAAAATGCTTGAAAAGCTGATGTGTATCGAATTGTCTCTTGCAGCACATCAAAATGTAGTTCATTTTTTAAAAGAAAAAATAGGCCCGCTTGAGGCTTTGTTTCGAACATCTGTAGCATGTACTCATTGCTGCTCCTTTTGAGAAGTTCTTCAAAGGTATGCTTGGTTTCGGAGAGAATGTGTGGTGCTGAACAGTAACTAGAGCCAACTTGTGCAATATATAAAGATCCTTCAGAACGCAAACTTGTTGAACCATTTAAATTGTATTCCACTTTTGAAATGTTAACATTGTATACGTGTATATATATTGAGAATAGCAATCCGCAGTCAACCAAGACACAGAAGATACCTGCAGTCTAGATAAAATACATTTCATATAAATATGTTCATGGTTTAAAAAAAATCATACAACCCGCTAACAGACTGAAGTGTGAACTCCTTACCTGTATTTAACTTTCGTGATGCTAGCAGGCTGACTAAAGGCTATTTAATAGTGACCAATTTTAAACATGGAAAAATTGGTAAACTGGCTCCAGGATAGAGCCATTTTAAAAATTGCTACTGATATGGGAAGTATTTCCTGTTGTCATAAACCAACTAAACCAATTAAATAGATTTTTCTTTTTTAGAAAAGCTATTTTCTTGTTCCTTTTAGTGACTGTTCCAGTTCCATGCACAACTAGATACAGACAGCTTTATATACCACATTTTTTCCCTTTCCCTCTGGAGTTCTTGGATGATGAGCTGGCAGTGTTCTGGACTGGCCAGAGAAAGTTACGCTGGGGGAAGTTTGAAGTTGGTCACAAGGAGAAGGGATGGTTTAGTTAACGAGAATATAGCCATGATTTATTTTTTGCCAAAATCTGTTTGAACTGGAACAAAGGAAAATACACATACATGCGATAAAAGAAAAACTTGCCCTTAAATTGCAAGCTACTGTGTTCAAGAGAAGCATCGTACAAAATTTTTTACTTTCTGTACAGTGACAATACAAATAATTTTTCTTTTTAACCATCATATACAACACAAATATTATGAATAGAAATCTATAAATACTTTAAAATGAATTTGTACTATATAGCAGTTGAGGGCCACAGCTGTACAAAATGTAAGCAACATATATAAAATGATTCAGAAAGTGCAAAGTAGAACAGTATCAAGAGCCTCCACTTTTTACAGCATTTATGGTTCAAGTGTGAAGAGCTAGCAGGGGTGCAGGAGCTCTGTTATAATTCAAAAGAAGACACAGTACAGGATTCTGCACACAAAACAATGAACTATTGTTAAATTCTATCTTCCCACTTCTTCACATTTATGACTTCCAGTTAATAGAACATTTTTATAATGAATTTCTGTAAAGAGGGTTTTGTCCCTTTTTACAAGTTCCATAAAATAAAAATTCCTTGGCCACAGTCTACTTTTCCATAAGCAAAACAAGATGATATGGGGAAACTACTGTTGGTTTCTGGTTGCCTTGTTATGCTTATCATATTTAAAAGGTGAACAGAAATCCTTTCCATAAAAGGTAATATAGACATTTAGACTCTGATTCTCTAAATTACATACAGGTAACCTGTACTGTTATTCACACGTACGTGAAGGTCTAGAGGATCAGTGCCTTAAAAGCAAAAGCCGACCTAAAACTCCTTTGAGTTTCAAGTCTGCTTAGAGACAACTGCCCATCAACTTCGCGGTTGTTTGCCAGTCAAGGCGCAAGTTTTGTGTTTTGCATTCAGGTGATGATTTCTCATCAGTACCTCCTGTAGCAGTGCAAGTCTTTGTTTTCTTTTATGCTGTGTGTCTGAAGCGTTGCTTGAATTAAAACAAGTAAAAATGTATTTGGTGAGTTGGAGCTCTTGAATGAGATTTTAAATAACTTGTTTTTAGAAAGCTTTTCAGTTCACCTTTATTTCAGTAAGTGTACTTTATATTCCTTCTTAGGCACTGTAAATATTCAAGGTACTAACTGATGTGCAGAAGACTACATCCATTCTCAAGCAGTGCATTATTAGTGATCTCTAGCAAGTCCTTGACTAATGTTGTCTTGTTTTTGTTTTTAAATGAAGAACGGTAGACTTTTAAGTACGCTGTTCTCCTCCCTCACTAAGTATCTTATGATGACAGAAGAATCACCACAGTTAATTAATTTTGCTCTTTGAAATTTAGGCTAGACTTCAGAATGAATTAAAGAGAAGTTGCAAGCAGTCTGAATATGCTAGAGAAACAATAATAATAAAATCACCTGGTCATACTGCTTTACATAATGATGCCTGTCTCAAAACTGGAGATGATCACATGAAACTCTATGAAGACCATCAGTATCTAATTGGCTAATAATTAAGAATTTGGAGTCTAAGATATTCTGTTGTACTCAACAGAGATTATAGAAACATTCATCCATTTGATGTATTTTCTAAATGCGTGATATCTACAGTATACACAGACATCCAAAGTTGAGGCATGAGAAGGAACCATCTGCACAACATAACCTGTTTATTTGCCTCCATACATTCTTTCGATGTCGTTGAGGTAATGGTTTTTCAGTTCTTTTCTTTTCAGTTTGAAAGCATCTGTTACTAACCCAGTCTCGGGGGTCCATGGTTCAGGGCTTAACCGTACTTTGATGGGAATTTCAAACCTTTCTAATTTCACTGCAGGAACAAGAAGAAACAAAAGCATGACTATGATTACATAGCCAAATGAAATAATAATTCATGCTATCTAAAAACCTAAGGTGAGCACTCTGTAGCTTGTATAATACAGTGTCCTACTTACAGAAGTAACCTTACAGAAGGGCCACAAGCAAATTTAGTCTTGTACCAATGCTGAGTGCTGGTTAGTGTGCAAATATTCTAGTAACACACTGTCCTTATAGCTTGTATTGGATGTGACAGTGTAAAACCTAAAGCTTGCAACAAATGAGTGTGTAGCCTGAAGATGTAAGACTACTGTCACAAGAGGATACACTGAAATCTAGAGTTGTATCTTTATTATAGGAATGTAGTAATAACTAGATTAACTCAGACTAGGCAGACGTGCTTCCTGTTTAAATTATAATGGTGTACTTCTGTAATTCCCATGATTGAATGATTCTTTCCCAAATTTTCCCTTCCTAAGAGTTTAGAGCTCAAAATAAAGGGACTTCTCTGTATTTTTTTGTTACGTTAGTCACTTATTTTCCCTTCAGCTGGAAACAGTGGCTTGGCACATGCACAGTTTCATTGCAACCAAAGCTGCTTCTACCTCTTGCCCAGGCAACAGGCCAAAGCGGGGTAAGCAAGGGAGGAGGTAGGTAACTGCTTCAGGGAGAAGGGCAGCGACGTCTGCAACGGGGCAGGGAGCTGCTGCATGTGTGCAATACTTGAGGGATGGAGCTACCAGCTCCTGCAGATGGGCTTCTAAGAGGATCCCCCCCCCACAGACTTGCAGCCGAGTTGCTAGGACAGCTTGTGGACAGCAGCCTCCGTCTGGCAGCAAGCGTAGCTCAGTTGGGATCGCTGGCTGTAAGGCTGTCCTGGGAGCTCTTCTGTCCCTCTCACTTCAAACTGCTATTGGAAGGTACTGTTTCATCTTACTTAGATATATGCCTGCTCATGATGAAGGTATATTATGTTCTGCTAAAAATGAGCACAATCTCTTTGAAATACTTTTAGAAAAAAGTCTCAAATAAATTAGTTGTATCTCAATAGTTGAGTACTATCTGGAAAGTAGAATGTATAAGCAAAGATTTTGAATAAACAAAGCTATATGGGTAGTAATTTGTCGAGTTCATAATAGAAAACACAGACTAAAATGTTTAAACCCAAGTCTGAGACCTATGGATTGATTTTCCCCCCCCCCCCCCCCCTTCTTAAAGGAAAGACTTAATACTGCCTTCATTCTTGTTTTCAAAAGGCAGATCCTCCTCTCTAAAGTTTGAGGGGCAGTGCCTCGCGTGTGCTTCGGTCCAGTATTACTACTTCCTTGTATGAGGTGCCAGGTGCTTTAAAGACACTTTTGCCCAGTTTGTTAATTTTTTTGGCCCCATAAAGGATTGATGAGGCTTTTGATCATTCAGGACAACAGCAAGGAATAGCAGGCTTTTAAGCCATTACAACCCCAAGGATCATGGTTGTTCAAAGCTGTAAGGAACAAAGTTGCATTGGAGGGAGGGGAGAAGCTTTGAAATCTCTTGCTCTACTAGTTTTCTTACCAGCAAATGTCTTGTAACTTCCCTTTCAAATTGATAGCTCTTTTGGACCTTATTTTAACTGCATTGGTCAAGCAACCTGTCTCTAGAAGTTTGTTGAAAAAAAATCAGATTTTTTTAGAAAACAAAAAAAAGATAAAAGTAGTTAATACAACCAAAAAGTATGTCAATTCCTGGGATAATGGGCAACAATTTGATGTGGTCTTTGCCTCTGATTAAACCATTAAGTTTTGGCAGATACAGAGGCAACAGGAAGCAGGAAGAGCAGTTAGTATGGATAACTGAAAATTTTTTGCTGGATAAGCACCATGACACTGGCTAGCACGACAAGCTGCTTTACTTACTTTTGTTTGCCACTTCTTTAATCTCTCGCAGTATTTCAGCTTCCATTGTAGGATTGTTACAAATATCTACCCAGGTTCCACTGATGCCTTTCTGCTCAGCTAATGCTGTCAGCTTCTTCTGATTAGGAACCACAAAACTGATCACGTAAGACTGGTCGCTACCACACGATGGCAAGAGAAGGAAGGAAAAGAGATTAAATCAGTGGAGGCTTCCATTTCAGGGAGTAAAGTGCTTACTTGCTGTTAGATACACAGATCCACAGTGCTTTCTGAACTGTAGCTATTCCCCATACAGAATCTTTCTTGCACATTAAGTCTTCACAACTGATGACTTATCAAAGGTGTTCTAAGTTGTTTTACAACATTGGGTTTGATTGGTGTCATGCTTTTCTGTAACTTCACAAGTGCACCTCTCTGTCTAGCTTCCCATCTACATCTGGTGTTTAGCTAGTTCTCTCCATTTCCCTTCATGTAATGTGTTAGGGAGAGGGGAGACTGGGACTATTTCCAAAACCCAGTGGAGAGCTTTGGATCCGGTGCAAAGTGTTCAGACTAACTTTTCTCTGGCATTTGTCCAGAAAGCTAAAACACATCATAAATACAATGACACCTGTTTGGGGAAGGGATGGGGTGGAACTGGAGTGTATGAGGATAGGAGAAATGCCAACAGAAAAATACAGGTCACTTCTTCAGGTTTTAGGGAATCTGGGCACGTGTGCCACTTCAGAGATGCTGTTTATAACTTGTGCTCTGGTAGGGGGGTCTGTTCAATGGAAACCATGGAAAACTATAGTGTATCATCAGAGAAGTGGGTCAGAGCCTATATTTCATGTTTACCCTAAATGGAGTTGATAAATTAATACCACTCTTACCTTTTGGCATAAGCACAGATATTATCGATCAATGGACAGTTCTTGAGTGCTGCCTCTACTTTGCCCAGAGATACATATTCCCCTGCTTGTAGCTTCACCAAGTCTTTCTTACGATCTAGGAGATGAAGGGGGGGGGGGGCGGGGGGGCAAAAGCAAGCTTGTTCCATTTAAACTTTTGCATTTCCACATACTCATTTGCAAAGCCACTATATATGTATTTTGTGCAATGCTATGCAAGATTCTTAATAAACATGAATTAAAACATCTTACTAAAATTTTTAAGCGGCTAAGGTACATATTCTGCCAGCTTTATAAAGGCTTCTGTAAGAAAGTTTATATAGCACTACACTTGTCACGCAACTTGTATGAAAGTGGTGGGGACTCTGATTTTACAGCTTTGTAATTAATACCAAAAATTAATCTTACATTTATTCTTTAAAGTCCATGTGCTAAATTTAGATAGTGATAATGTCACAGGAAAAGGCATCACTTCCAAAATTCTCCTACAGCTGTAAAGACTTTTGGGAATGTGTTTTCTGTTGTGATTCTGCAAGCAAGTAACCTTTAAGTAGATTAGCCCTGGCAAAGCCAACAGGATCAATAGCAGGCTTATAATTATGTTTAGTCAAGATCTTGTTATAGATTAAGATATCAAAAATTGAGGCCGACCTATGATCTGCAGACACCCATCCGGATGAAATTCCCCTATATCTCCTGTACAAAACCATCTCTGACCATTCTCATCAATGGAGAACTCTTCAGTTGTCTTCTCTTGGTTTTTAAAATATCCCATTGAGACATTAGGTCCACCAATTATAATTTCCCCTCTAGGATTAGGCTTGTCTTTATTAGTATAGCCCCCTGAAAAACAAGAAACAGCCCCCCCCCAGTTATTTTTAACTTTTATATTCTGCTGACAAGAAAATATTTTGAAACTTTAGCTTGAAGTTAATGCACACAAATCAATGACTATTATAAAAGATAAAGAACAATAACAATCACATGCTACACCTAGTTGAGCAGATAGGCAAGGAAACCAGCTAAGCAGTGGTTAAATTAGTTACTCTGAAATCGAAACATTTAATGCTCTCACCTTCTTGCCAGTCTCTCAATTTTATTTCACAACAAATAAGAGGAGCTCCAACTCTGCCAGTGCTGTAATCAGCAACTTAGGGAGAGAACAAGGAAGAATACAGAGATGTTTGTCATTTGAAACATAAACTCAAACCATAAATAAGGCAGTATCTTATCTCAAGTTACTTTATTGCAGTTAAGAACTACAGCTATTTTGACTATACAAAAAAATCCCCACCAAACCCTCCTGTGTATCTGTATCTTAAATTATTTATTTCCAGAAGCATTTTAACTACCTTCTGTAATTGTTCCAGCTCCACATGTTTCTGTTAGTCCATAGCCTTGACCAACAGGACAGCAAAAACAGATGTTCATGAATCTTTGTGTCTGAGGTGAGAGTGGTGCTCCTCCAGAAAGCATCATACGGACATTCCCTCCCAGTAGTGCCTTTACTTTTTTAAACAATAGTCTTGAAAGAAGGAAAAAAGCATTAAAAATCATTCACTCAGCTCACTTTTCTAAAAAGAGAGAGACACAAACCTTCTTCTTCTTCCCTATCTGGAACACCTTAAAAGTAACTCAATCATTCACTGATTTTAGTGGACAGCAAGGATAATCAAAAACATTACCTCTTGTGTAACCTTTGAAGATGGCAGAATTCCTGTTAACAAACATTCCAATTTTATTGCTAATAAAAAGCAATCCAATGAAAACTAAGTAGTCATCTGTTCTGAAGATTAGTCATTCCTACCATTAAAATCTTACCATTTTCCCGTAAGAACTTGTATTATTTCAGTTAGTCATTAGATGATATTTGCATGTTGGATGAGAATGATCTGATGTCAGACAGCTTAGATGATTACTCTTTTAGACTGTCCCAAGGAAAAAGGTACACTTAGATTGTGAATTATACTTACACGTTACACAGAGGTGCATCATATCCCCTCTTGATTTGTTCCAGTTTGTAGTCATAGCCTATCTTGAACAGAGTTCTCTGAATGTAGTTCATCTCTTGAACTTTACTCATGACATTTTTATAAATTCTGTCCATTATCTCCTGCAAAGTGTTTAAAAAAAGCAAGGAAAATTATCACATAGAGTAGACTAGCATGTGTAAATCAAATTCCATGTTAAAAATGAAATAGGAAAACTATTATTCTTCCTTTAAAACAGATAATACAGTAAGAGTGAAAATGCCTGCATCATTGGTAAGGTAATGCTTCACTGTAATGCTTTTCATGTGTGACCAATTGGTTAATTTATAGGTCATCACAGCTTGGAGCTATTTGAAATGGGTGGAATGAAGTATGGAAAATGCAGTAGAAGATTAGTGACTTAGCCTTACTTTTCTCCATTTGCTTTTTTCTCCTCACACCAGTATCACTAGAGAGGGAGAACCCTCATGCTGTAGAATACACCTTATACTAGAAAACTTGCCTTGAATTAGGCAGACAGGTCAGTCAAGGGCAAGTAATTCGGTAACCATTGTGCGTCTTCAGGCATACTGCAGTAATTGGTAGTGCCCCTTGCATTTCTAAAAATGACGCTCTAAACCTCCGATTTGGTTTGAAAATACTTTCCACCCCTCATTCTGAAGATGCCTTTTCCATCAACCACAGCTACAAATCTTGGGTAACGCACCATAGCGTAATAAAACTTGCTATATGATACTGCTTACGTTATCGATAACATCTTGGCCTCTACTTAATGTGACAAACTGATTTAGAAAATTTTTACTTCAAGTTTAGCTAAATCCCTTTGCTAAAGGTTGGTATATGCCATGCAAGCTTTATCGTGCTTAGAAGTCCTGATGCTGTACTTCACCCACGGCAATTGGCAAGCACAGGGGAGTCAACTAAGATCTCATTTCACCACTTCCTTTTCCAAGAAAAGTTTTTCAACTTTCAAAGCAACATGGTTGCAGCAATTCTAGTTACCTGACCAAAAAACCACAGTCCTGTCACAGACAAGAAGTTAATTTCCATTAAAATAATAAGCTTATGATCACTAAAATACACAGTATTTAAAATAAATAGTATTTAACAGAAATTTAAGGATTGGCTCATTCAAGTTTGTTACAGAGCACAATGCTTTGAAATATTTACGTGCTTTCTAACAGAAGTCAAATTAAAATTGAAAAGCAAGCTATGAAAATGATGTGCTGTGAAGTATCGGAGATCAAAATATTAAAGTCATTAATGTGCTTGAGTTCCTTCAAATCTTCACAACTGGGAATTAGACAAACTAGAATTTCAGAAAAACTACACTATCTTCAGGACAGTTTACCTGCAGAATATCATCTAATATTTCCAAAAGCCAGACAAGTATCTTAAAGCAGAATTAAATGTAGATTTTTGGAAAGACTAGAGAGGCATGACAAGGTATTTGGAATTACAAAGGCTGGAAGGAACTATTAATGCTTATTACAATGTTCTGATTGAATCAAATATTTAGAAATATTTGTGTCTCTGGATTTTGTTAGAATTATTTTCCATTTCAGTTCTTATACGTTCTAATCACTGGTGATGTTACAACGTTTTGACAATAAAAACAAGACAATAGTTCTAGGGAGAGAAATATTTATTAGATGATATTACATAAGTGTTGTTCCTACTGGGGCTTTCTGAAGGTTTTTCCTCTTTGCTGTAGATAGTTGAACTCTAGATTCTGTATGCTATCAACTGAAAATGGATCATCAGTTTCTATTTTATTTTTTCTCTGTTAACTTCTTTGTGATAGTAAGTCTGTAGAGTCAGACATTTAGGTGGGGTTCTCAGCATTATCACTGTTCTGCAGTTAATTCATGTCTTCACCAGGAAATGAATTTAAATAGATAATCTCTAAAAAGCTGAGGTTCTCAGACAAAATAACTTTCACTCAGTTAATAATTAAGAAAAAGACCACGCCTATATGTATGATTATTATTTTATTAAAAAAAAAAGCAAGTGAGTAAATGATTTAAACTCTTGGCTGTTCCCAAAAGATGCTGCAGAACAACCAAATCCAACTATTCTCAAATGAGACTAAATCCTCCTACTTGCCCACCACCATGTGGCAAAAGCTGGTGTTACCAGTTTTATGAGCCACAAATGTGATACGATCAAAGAGGCACATGTGATTCCAGGACACATGAGGAGGGTTTTTGTATTAGAAAGATGCAAACATTTGTGTATTTTGCAGATAGCGCCTTGTGGAATGCAAAAGCCTGGTGACCCAAAGGCCAACGTCAGCTATGTCGGCAATAGGAGTTACAGTCTCCTGACCACTTTTTCGTAGAAGAGGAGACTAAGCATGGCCTGCTTACCCTAAGAACAGCAAGACAGACTTAGCCTAAGTGTTACCTTGGAGACAAGCAGCTGAGATTGAGCACCCCACAACTGTGGCAGCACAGCTTAATGTGCCAAGTTCTGTAACTCATCCAAACGCCCAGACCCTTCAAGTGTCCATCTTAGCCAAAGCCACCCACCCTGCTTGCTCCCTATGCAAAAAGGAGTTTCAGGCTGTGAATGTCAAAGGCTTTCTGTATCCTATTATATCAGTAGCCCAGTAAAACATCACTTGTAGCTATTAAAACACATTTACAGTTTAGGATCAAAAAGGGTCTTGGCTTTAGCATAGATATATTCTTGTGCTCATCTGCAGCATTAGTACTCGGTTCAAGCAATGACAACTGGAACTTCTACATTTTGCTTTTTTCCTATTAGTGACAGTTACACATGAAGAGGAAAAAAAGTTGGTAAATATATGTTTTTCTAGCCTGAACAAGATAGAAAGCATTGGTTTTTTGCTAAACATATCTGCTTCTGCATACTTACAGGCACAGCTGCCATCAATGTAGGCTTAAGTACAGTACAGTCTCCTTTGCTTCCCTTCTTAATTTTACTTGACTGTAATAAGGAAAAAATGTCAGTTTATGAAGCTGAAAACCAAGCAGCTCTTTAGAAAAGGACTAAAAAAAGAGGGAGATATATTAGCATGTAATTTCTTTAAATTTCTTCCCCTGTCCCTCCAAAAAACATTTCCTGTGTAAATTTTTTTTCCCCATTGCGATGGAAAAAGTAACAATTAACAGCAATTTTGACCAAAATACTAGATGTTTTACAAGCCCAACCTGATTAAATCCACTTTGTATATCTTTTTCTTACTTCCTCCCTCTAGTACTTGCTTTTTCCTCCATCTTCCTCCAGGAGTTGCTTTTGCCTGATGTAAAACGTACAGAAACATTCTTTTCCAGCTTAATTTGCTCTTATTTATCTTAATTGTTGAATGGAAAAAGGCAAAGGACTAAATAGAAGATCTACAATAACTGGATAAAGAACTCATAAAGTGAGACCAGAAACTTGAAGTCACTTTAAACAGTCTTACATTCAGCTAATCTATCAATAGCTGTTCTTATTCTGATATTCAGTGGATAATGCTACATGCATTTATTAGGTTTTCTTTTAGATTTCCTAAGTATCATAAAAGTAAAGGTTTTAATAAAATTTATATGGTATGACCCACTTATAGTTCACCAGGAACATTAATTTGCATAATTTTCTGAAAAAAAGATTACATTTCTGAAGAGTGCCATACACATCAGCACCTCCTTAATGAAAGAGGACTAAGCGAGGAGAATGCAGACTGCAAGAGCTAAAGTTTTCTTTTCCTTTCCCCCTCTGCCCCTTACCTGATCCGATAGTGTGAGTGGAGAGGAATAGCCAATCCTGCAGCCGTAAGTGATGCAAGAAATTTCTGCAGTCAATTCTAATACATGGGCCAGAGGCAAATAACCAATATAAGTGTCCTTGGGCCTAGGAAAGGATTGTCTAATTAACAATGATGCACGAGTGGACCGAAAATACTGTTTAACAGTTTCATTGTGTGCTTAGTTAATTACTTTCTGAAAAACTTGCATCACAAGTGAGGATTATGCTTCTGCATGCAAGAAGGGAGTGATTTCAAACCATGGTTTATAAAGAAAATGGGGAAAATCCCACTGCACTCAAATCAATATAAAGTACAGGATTTGTCTTGTTTTATAGGAAACTCAAAGATGCCTTAGTGCTCCACTGCTATTTCCTCTCCATGTGGCAGATTTCATCCCAGGTATGAAATTAAGGATGAAATCACTGTATTTTAAAATAATCACCAATGATTATTTTAATGATCAATCATATAAAGCCTTGACAGTCATCATAGCATCTCATTCTACAATAGCTTAGTAGAGAGCTGATCACTGAAGTACTGAGGCTTATTTCAGGAAATAATTTCTCAGAGATTTCTCAGCAAGAAACTTAGAGCTGTCACTTAACAACAGCTTTCCGCATCATGTCAGAACTGGTTTTATATCCTATCAAAAAAGGAGTTTAGCAATGTTGCTTATTTCAGCTATTAAACCCTTCATGAATGCAGTGACAAACACACCCACATTCACAAATAATATTTTCAGAAATTTATGTGAGGGAATTTGTAGTTGGTTTTACTATTGTCAATGCACAGTTTATTACTTTTCTGCTCATTTCAGTGAGTATACTAGAGCAGATTCTGCAGCACATGCATTAACTATTCAAAGTGGTGTGTCTAGATAAATGGAGTGGTAGGCTCTGACACACTTCCTGAAGTGATTCTAACTGCCTGAAAACATCTAAGAAAAATTTCCCAAGTTTGACTAGATGAGGAATCTCCTTATCTGGTGTCATCTTCTGATGCACAAGAGAACACAAAAACCTATCACAGACCTAAAAGCTATGGGGAATAATAACAAAAAGTAGACACAGCATGTGAGATGAGCTAGAAGGGCATCCTTTTCAAACAACAGGGTAAGTTCACACACACAAGATCTATTTCTTGTAAATTAAAGATTAGTGGGCTCACAATAAAATGAAGAAATTTGGTAACACCTGATGCTAGCAACAGACTTTCTATAAACGTGTACTTTTGGAGGTTCTGTTTTATCTCTCCATTCACATCACAATCAAGTGTTTCTTACCCCAGTCCAGGTATTCTCTCACACTGTCCCGTCATTCCAGCTATTAAGTTTTTATGCATCATCATCACTCCTTTAGGTCTCCCAGTAGAGCCACTGGTGTACATTACTAAAGCCAAGTCTGTAGGAACAGGTCTGCTTGGCAGAATGCTTGCTACAAAATGCAGGAGAAAAATTGTTACTGATTCTTAGCTACTTTCTAATTTGTTATTTCTGTAATTAATCAATGTGAATGTGTCTGTAATCAACCAGTGTGAAACAGGTGCTTCAAAAGTAAGCACAGCATGCTGCTAAGTGGTCAGTGGTAGATGCAGATGAAGAGAGTAGTGGTCTGTTTTTAAGAGAAAGTGAGGGAAGGCAGATTTTGAAAGAAATGACAAGTATCTGGGCATCTACACAATCTGGGTGATACTTTTGCCATTGTCTTATAGCTGACTGAAAGTTTCATAGAAGCAGCTTTCTGAAGACCAAGTAAACCTGTCAAGGGCAGAGAATGGGAGAAATACAGTACTGGAAAGAAACAACAGGTTAAGAAAAAAACAAAACCAAAAAAAAATGCCAACACCCCAAAAAGCTGCAAGGCAGCTTTTCTGTCACTCGCTCTTCCAAAGCCAAGGTTGTAGAGCTAAGACTACTTTATTTTTATTTTTTTAAATTAACCTTCCTCAGGTAAGCTCACAACCCTTGACTTTTGACTTTTGTTTTAATCCCTTGGCATTTATTCTCAGGATGAAAATTATTAGCTTTCATAGCTTTCACAGCTAGAGAGGCAGCAGACCTGTACCTTAAGCTGATCAGAGATAAGCGGTTGTAATGAATGTGTGCTTCTCTGCAAAAACCTCTTTGCCAGTTTCTCTCCTCTTTTATTCAAGAGAGGGGAGAGCTGGCAAAGCACAGACTGTTGATTTAAGGAAAAGAGATGATCAACGTTGGGTTTTCCTTCCTTAAAGCAGATGGTTACACTCATTCCTGGCTGCCCAATGTAGCAAGGGACATAATGGTTATTCCTCTAGCCCAAGGTGCTTTTTAGCTACAGACTGGTTAAGAAAAAAGACATTTCCAAGCCAACAAGCAAAATAAAAAGCCTCAAGTTCTTTCTCCTCTTTTCTTAGGAAAAATAGTGAATGTAAGATGAATAAAGAGGTAAGACTAGCAGAAAATGGAACACTGCACTAGATTCTATTTCACTTCCTAAAACAAAGGCAGAGTTTTAAAATTAAATTATTCTGATTATGGTTTAGAAGTTAAAAAAAAAGTTTTATCCTGAAATATCTGACACTCGAACAAAGGTGCAGGACAATAAATAGATATCAGAAAAACTTTATTTATTTAAAGGAAGCCAGAGGATGAACTGGCAATCTGCCACTGCCTTTGTGTTAGAGATATGCATGGGCGTGTTTTTTTCTGCTACGCATCCCTCTTAACCTAGGTCCGATTCCACTGTTAACATTGCTTGATTAGCTCTCTGAAGTGATTCACTTACAGTTTTCTGGTTTGGCTCCCAGCTCTTCTACTGTCTGCATACTATGGATCTCCACATTTTCAGGGTATCCCGATTTATTGATAGTCTTCTTGTCCACATAAATGATATGCTTAAGACAGGAGACTTGAGGCAATGCAGTCTATAGAAGAGAAATTACATTTTTAGTACTGACTGCACTGTAGTGTTACTGTAGGGTTGTTTATAAGCAGGTAAAGCTGGTACCAGGTAATTAAGGTAATTACCTTAAGTTTGCCCTCAAGAAGTTCTACACTAGTGACCAGATATGACGCCCCACACTCATTGAGACCATAGATTACTGCCTCTTCACCCAGGGTGGCATACAAGGTAACAACTGTTACAGTAAGGAGACAGAGAGAGAACATAAAAGAAGTGTTAAAGTAATACCAAATTCAAAAGCTCTTGCTTTAGCTCACTGGAAAGCATTGCGGGAGGATGGGGTAGGGGCATAAAATTAGCTTGATGGGGAATTTTCTCTTTTGGAAATAAAACCGCTTTTAATTTTTTCTACATCAGAATCTTACGCCACAAGAGACCTCTGGAATGAGGACAGTTGTATAGGAAGCATTTCTTTACCAAGAGGGTGGTCAAACACTGGAACAGGCTTCCGTGTGAGGTGGTCAATGCCCCAAGCCTGTCAGTGTTTAAGAGGCATTTAAGAGGACAACACCCTTAACACCATGCTTTAACTTTTGGTCAGCCCTGAATCGGTCAGGTAGTCGGGCGAGATGATTGTTGTAGGTCCCTTCCAACTGAAACAGTCTGTTCTATTCTATGGAAGAAATCATCAAAACAAAGAGATCCACCAAAACCCAACAATAATGCACTAAGCAATCATGCAGTAAACAACTGAGAACGCGTGTTCTGGCCCGACCTCTTTGCAGCCAGAACTTGGGGGGAGAGGTGACCCTCTAAACGCTGCGGGGCACCAGTCACTGCTTAAAGCCATATACTTCTACAAGCAGCTCTTTCAGCAGCGTCAGCTACTTTGCTTGCTCCTGTGAAATTACTGATGGGGGCAAGGCAGAGGATCAGACTGAGGAATAGGACTGTTTGTCATGTTGCTACATTATTTTTAACCCTCACTGGCTACAGTGATGCCATTAAGTGCCTCACAGGCACCAAGGAATTCACCTCTTCCCATCATCTCTCTATTGAAAAAAAAACCTTTGCTTTAGTATTGTCTGCTATCTCAAACTCTCACCTCCAAAGACCATTTAAAGGCATCTAATACTCCTATGAAATAGGGTTCATATGGAAGGGGCAAAAAGAGAGTAATGTTATATAGCTGATTCTTCCTGCCTCTCAAATAATGAGGCTCAAGACCAAATTAACCATCCTTTCCTACTTCAGTAGCAATGTCAGCTCTTCCATTATTGCCCTTTAACAGCCTCTCTGCATACTCTACTGTGTGACCTTCTCACACGGTCAGCTACTACTAATACTGGAAGAAATAAGAGGCAGCCTCGTGCAAGCAAAGACATAAGGTAGCAACAAAAATAAGCTATGGGTCCTAGTGTGTTGTATGCAGACTGCACAGGTGAGTGCATAGTAACCCTTGCCACTTCACTGAGAAGTCTGTATGCATTAAGTCAGATTAGAGATTTTTTGATAGCTTAAATAAAAAAAAAACAACATATACATAATGGTAATCAACTTGAGCAGCTTAAAAATGTCACCAAAACCCCTTCACGCTAGCATATGATCTTGATTCTTCTCTCTTCTAATAACTTTATTTCATGTTTTGGATGCATCGGTCAGGATACAGACAGAAAATACTATAAAAACATTCCGCATTTTGGGGGGAGAAATGCAACTACTGTCATCTTCAGAGTATTTAAAAAAAAAAACAAGTAGTAACTGTACTGTTCTGTCATTTAACATCTAGAACATTACTACAATAAAATCAGAAAAAACGGTCTCCTAAGTATAAGCAAGTTAATTTGGGGGATCTCCGCAACGCGTAGAATAGACTGGAAACTTGTAAGAATCAGACCATAGGCAGAGTGAGTTTATGAAATTCTTATACCATCAATGACAGAACTGGCAGATTCAAAACACTTAACAGCGAAACCAGTGCTGAGAAATGGTTCTAAAATACATCAGCAGTAAACAAGTTCAGCACTCACGAGGAAAGTTGTACTTGAAGCAGGTTAGAGCTGCAATCATCCATTCTGCTCGGGTCTCGCAGAATATGACAACAGTACTCTTTGGAGTTAGTCCCAGGGCAGTCAGTCCACTCCCCAAGCGATTCACTTTCTCATTTACTTCTTCATAGGATAACCACCTGTAAGTTCCTAAAATTAACTGTTGAGTAAGAAAAAAAAAAAAATTATGACGACAAGAAGCTGCTGGTACAGCTCTACAAGCTTATGTGAGTTGGTGCGTAACACCTTGAGCACACACATTGCCACTCATTTAAAAAAAAATAAATTCCTTTCATTTTTCTTGAAGTAGAATAAATAGTATCCTGTATTCTGTTATGCTTTAACTACTATAAAATGGATGTTTTCTATCATGAGGTGGTGATTAGTAAAGACCTCCATTATCTAAGGCAAGAAGCAAATCAGCTCAAAACCAAATCAGAATTAATGACAAAATTGTGTTACCTTTTTGAACACTTTTCCATTTGGTTGCATTTCATTTTCTTCACTCAGTATTTCTCTAGTCCCAAGGCAGTCCTTCTTCCCAAACTTTGCTAAAGCATGGTCAAATAGCTTGTCCAACGTGTCTGCTCCAGGAATGTTTATGTTTGCTAGTGAGTCCAGATGAGTGACAGAACGGTAGGGGCTTCCAGGTTTGTCCGAGATGGGTTTAGCTTTTAAACGTTTTGCCATAGCCTTTTTCTTCTTAGCATTGGTAAGAAAATACCATGGAATAAATACGAGCATACTGTATACAGATATTAACAAGTACACAGGCAGCAAGAGAATGGCATGTACTTCTAGCCTAAGTTTCATTGCAGGTATTTCAAAAAGAAAATCTCTTATTGTGTTCTGAAGCAGGCAAGAGCAAAGCAGCAGTGCAGTATGGTGCAGGAAGAAGCAACAGTAAGTGAGGCTTAGGTAGTTGTTTCAGAGCAGCTGCTAAAATTTTAGTAACCTTTGATAGCCAACAGTGGACACCTGGGGGTGGAGACCAGAGCCAAGCAGAGAGCAGGAAAAAAAAAACAGAAAAAAGAATTAAATTAGTAATCTCACAGTCAGTCCATTAGTGTTAGTCCTTCTAAGAGTTCACTTCAAATGCATCAAGACAAAGGAGACTGAAGTAACTGACTTAAGAGGCATGTACCCTGTACGACATAGCAGTGTACTGCTCTGAAGACGAAAGAGGATTAATCTTTTCCATACTTGTTTGGTGCTTCCACAAATATTTACTTTTCGAAGACTTTTCTGCACTATCTCTGTTTGAATAGTTCAGGGCTGTTGAGATTAAGCCTGTCCTTCGCATCATAATATTGTGTTTAAGCTACTTCAGTAATGCTACAATTGTGTAATTACGGGAAAGGTCAACCGTTGTTTTCCCCCTAAATATTTGTACTACAGAGAAAAGATACAGTAGATTTCTTTACTGTTTTTCAGATTATATCAATTTGATACTCTGTATCTTGATACAGAGTCCTCAAAAGTCTACATGTTGTAACCTAACAACTATATAATATTCCAAAACTGCTTTATTAACTTTGCCGCAGCAACCGACTTTTTAATCTATTACTTTTCAACTCTGAATGTCAGACTCTTGGAAAGGTATTACACAGATTTGCTTTCCCCCCCTCCAAAGAGTACATCAATCTAGGCATTTCAGAACTCCAGGTATGGAAAATGGAATCCAGTGTGACCAGTTTAATCCAACTTAAAATAAAACACAATTTGGCAAGATGTTGTCTGCATGTCAGAAATCTTTCCTCATTAAGGAGAACTGGGCCTGAAGGTGAGTGGGAGAAAAACAAAAGCATCGTAGTAAACCATGGTTGTGGCTAACCCGCTAGTCTGTAACTAGTCTGCACTGGCTCATAAAATACGCAGGTTCTTACCCTCATCTGGATGGCATGCAAACACGGCACGCAAGCACATCGTGAATGATGCACACAGGAAAAATGAAAGGCAAAGGCGCACCAACAAAAGAGCGGTACCTCAGACTCACTGGGGAGTGAGGGACGCTGACTTAGCTTATTGCAAAGCCCAATCTTTCATGGACAGAATCTGATACGCAGAATGGATGAGAACAGGGGAATTTTCAGGGCTCCGTCCAGAATTAAAAGAACGTGGGCACACCTCAAAATGTACCTTTATTTGCCACTCTCAAGTGATGAGGGAAGCTACAACGAATGTTTCAGGTTAAACAAGACAACTGCTACTAACAGCATAACAGAAATCTATTAGTAGGTTGGTGGGTATTTTAGTAAGAATTCCAACATCTGCAATTGTGTTGTAGCCAATATCAACAACATTTAATGTCATGTAAGATTAAGAGATCTGCAGATACTTAAAATAAAATGATCACCACATTAATTTTTTTAATTAAAACCATAGAATAAAATTACTATTGAATGGTAGTATAATGTACTAAACTAAGCTCAGACTTGTTCAGAAAAAAGAGTATTCTGCATGCTTCTTTTAGAAAAGGTGGATGCTACATTCTTTTCAAAACATATATGCTTATTCTGCTCTAGTTAACCTCATCGTCATCAACTGCTCAGAGTCAAACCTCAGCAGAGGAGAGATCATTTTACTTCTGTAAGCTCCAGTTCCATAAAATGAAGGTTTACTTGTTTACATTACAAATCCTGTATGATATTTTCATTCCAGTTAATTCGGTGCTCCAAAAGCAGCAGTTGAGCTTGTATTTAAAACAAAAGCCAGCCATAGTGCTAAGACTACAGTAAGAAAACTTCAGTGCATGCCCACGCTTAGACAGATTTTAAAATAAACCCCACGGAGAACTTGCTGCTCTTCACCTTCCAACAAAAAGCATATGACTGGATAAAAAAAGAATATGACTTGGATAAAAAGCAGACTTTTGGACTAATGCAAGTAATTTAATATAATGATACAGTACTATAGCTTTTATTCAGGCTGAGTAGTAGCTTTTTCAGAAGTAGTCCTACTAGTAAAAAAAGTACTTGCTAATAATCAAGAACTGATTTAGAAAGGGAGGAGGGGAATAGGCTCATATTTACTTAAATTCTTTAGCCAATGTTCTGGCCTGGCCAATATTATAAAAAGACACATACTTTAACTTTTCAATTTAATCTCCTGTACATTAATTTTTTAAATTATATTTAAGCTGTTTAGCAGCTTGTATAACACTGAAGTACCACAAAATTTTCAGAGTATTTTCTGTGTACCTGTTATTACAACAGATACAAAGAACTGCAGATCGTATTTTCACACATTGATTTACTTACTACTTTTTATTTAAATCTCTATTGACTAATGGTATCTATTAACATATACTTATTGCAATTATCTCTTCTTTCCACTGCGATTTCTCGCTCTTTCTTATTGCATCAGTGAATTGAACTGTCTCTGGGGTAAGAGCTGTCCCTTTTTTTACCATATCTAAAATGATGGGGACCTGCACCTCTTGTCATCTAAGCACTGATGAGATGCAAACACCACAATGAATTGTAACAGTGCTCTCATGATTTAAAGAGGTATTTCACAATATCCAATTCACACTGTATTACTAATTATCAATATTAAGTCTTTAAAACTGAACTAGGTTGCAGAATGGATTGTAAGACTATGTGTGAAGAGGACTGTGTTTGAAAAATTACACCCTACTGATGTCATCTAATAATCCTTTCTACATGCATAAAATGTGTGGTTTTATATGTGTGATGATCTTCAAGCTGACTAAGCAACAAAAAACAAAACTCAATTCAGTGTCGAACGCTAACTTAAGAACTTCTAGAGTTTACTGGAACAACTTTCTAACATGCTAAAAAAACTCATCAGAATGTTCAAAATACTGCCTGAAATAATAAAGTAGTGATAAAAAAGGTCTTAATGGAAAAGAATGTTTGTTTTGTCCTAAAACTGGCACCCTGGTGAAATAACTTTTAAGTGCATGTACAAACACACTTTGTACACTTGCAGCCAGTTATGCTAATGTTCACATCAGCAAAAATTAACGGCTGCATTTCTTTCATTTTGAAATTTCGTTTGAAACACTTTAAAAAGGGTTTATAAAAACAGGTAACTTAGCTAATTTGTACACATTTGTGGTGATTTAAAATGTTTCTAGCTTGACAAAAATTGTAATTCTTAATAGACAGGAGTTGGAAAAACCTAGTAAGTTCCAAAAAGACAAACATATCTTCTTTCTTTAAACATATTAACATAAAACACTGACACACGCACACAGAGGTATACTTACCAGGTATCTGACAGTGATGACTGAGTTTTTTTTCAGTGTCGATTAGATCTATATTAAAATAGAAAAAAAGAAAGTCTTGGAGGTTGGGAATTTTTTTGCCTTGCAGAAAGGAGGAATCTTTTGAATTTCTACCCTAAGGGGAAGAATAGCTCTTCTAGGAGGATTTAGACAAAAGCGGCACGTGCTACCCCTACAAGAGGAGAACAGTGATGTTATTGGAAAAGACCGAGTTGCAAACTACAGTGTACAAATAAAGACAAAACTACCCAAAAGGAGTTTAATTTTTATGGGACACCTCTGACCCCTCCCCATTTAACCGTGTTCTAAATAAAACTATGAACAGAAGCTTAATTTAATTCAAAAAAAAAATGGCAGGAAAGAGACTTTCAGATTCCGTATGTTCCATTCATCTGTCTCGGGGCAGAAGCAACAAGACCTTTATCACTCTGGATGGATGAGTATCAGTAGACACATGAACTCAGGACTATCTGTAGCATATACCACCCAAAAGAGTCATAAGGAACATGAAGTAGAGTTTGGGTGCTGAGGTAAGAGGAGACTTTACATGACAAAAGCACGATTATGTGGGCAGCGAGGCCTCACTGGTCCCACAACCAGTGGGAAAAAAAAAAAAAGATGCTGATATGTAACTATACAGATAATGACTTCAGAAAGTCTACTGCATAATCGTTCTCTTGGACTACTTGGTTTTATATATAGAAGGCTTTTAACTGATGTTTAACCAGTTATACTTTATTAGCCTTCCCCATAAGTCTAAGATTTCAGTCAAGGTACCGGTTTTTATGGACTGAAACTGTGTTAAACATCCCTTACAAAATTCTCCAACAAACATTTTCTCTTGAAATTTGAAATAAGAGGCGCGATAATGTTTTTAGTGTTACTGGCACTTGCATATGGCTGTATAAGATTTTGATCCATAACAGGACTATCTCCAACTCGTGCCAAATAAATATTTATCATATTTTAAATATAATGCATAACAGACTGACATACGGAACTTGCAAAAGTACCTCCATACCAATTCCGTTTGGTTAGAAGCCAAACTTAGCTATTCGAATTACACCTTATGCCTTCAATTTCTGATTTAAGTTTAAATAGAATTTAAGAGACAGGATGAGATGCAACGTTCACACTGATGTGCCATCAAGGCTACCGTCAAGGAACGCCAGCTACATATTACTGAAGTGTAACAGTTATGTTCTCAGTAAACTTCCTCTTTCCTCACAAAGAAAAGAAAATGTAGCACTCGCATTAAAAATTTCACTCTATCAAAATAAAGCTATTATGTAATACTAGAATATTTAGAATACATAGTATTTTATATCGACTTACAAAGTTCATTATTTCTCTTAATTGTGCAATGTAATTAGCCTTGTTAGACACAATGTATTTTGGAAACAGCAGAGGTTCCAGTTCTTGATGTAGGAAATGCACATTCCCAGCAACAGCAATCAATATGCGTCAGGCATGACTACAGTCTAAGAAAAAACCGAAACTGAACAAAAATAACGGTTGCTCTCCCAGATAGCTGTGTTTTCAGCACCTTTTCCTCAGGTGA